ATCAATGGGCTGAAGCCACAAGGTTGTTTGATGAAATGGTAGTTCAGGGAGTCTTACCTAATATCATAACTTTGAGAATACTTTTGGATGCTCTCTTCCAAGGAGGGATGCCAGAAGAGGCTCATAAAGTAGTTGAGGCCAAAGTTAAATATGGTATGGAGCTGAGCAAAATAACTTGCAGTATGCTAATTGATGGTTATTGTTTTCATGGCAAAATGGATAAGGCAAAGAAGGTCATTGATTTAATGGTGATAAAAGATCATGCTCCGGACATTGCTTCTTGCTATAAAGCCTTGGTCAACGGCTATATGCAAGCTAAAAGGATAGGTGAAGCTTCGAGGCTCGTTGAGGAAATGATCGAACAAGGGGTGATGCCTGATGTGGAAACCCTAAAAGCTTTGAGAGGTTTGCGTCCTAAAATGCATGTTGTATCTGCAAAATAGTTTCCCATGAGACCGCTAGAACTAGTTACAATCCTGTTAAATCTTTTAACTGCTAATTATTTCATTGGATTCTAAACTTGTATGACCAAGCAATATTAGTGAAACTCTCCCATGAACTTTCAACCACATCCAAATCTTTACACTGCTCTTAGTTCATAGTGTAAGTTCAAGAATGAAGAGATATCAAGAATTTTTAATACCTATATTCAATGAATATTGCAACACAACAAATTCAGCATCAATAATAAAAGAAGAGTGTTGCTAAACGAACCCTAAAATTAACTTAGTATACCCTATAATCTAAGTGCACCCTAATATTTAAATTAAAATGTAAAATTAACTAAGTACACCCTATTTAACTACCAAAAATACCCCTAGTACACCCTAATACATTCTATACACAACTCCACCCTTCTCCCTCTCTCTCTCTCTCTCTCTAACACAGCCCAACTTCACCCTTCCCTTGCTTACCGACAGCCAACCCAGACCCCACGAACATAAGATTCTAATAAGCGCAGAATATCATGTTGGAACCCATCTCCCTTCAACTGGTGGACGAAGGAAAATGCCAAATTGGGTTCGTTTCTTAGCAGGCCCGCCCCTGACCAGGGGCAGTCAGTGCGACTGCCCTGGGCCCATTATTCAGGGGGGCCCAAATATTTTTTTTTAGTAAGTATTATATTATATTATTATAACTATTAACTTATTTAATATTTTGAAAAGGAAAAAAAAAGACCAACAATCTGGTCTGTTCCACTTCTCAAGAAGAAGAATGCTTTTGTGCGCCTGTTCCTGTTCCACTCCTCCAGGTCGCTTTTACTTCTTCTTCTTCTTCGTCTTTTTTTCTTCTTTCTCTTCTTCTACAGAGTTTTGAATCCTCTCCTAAGCCTCATCTAAGCTGGTCCTTGTGATTTGTGAATCCAAAATCCTAAGCCTCCATCTAAGTTGGTCCTTGTGAATCATCTTCTTTTAGTTACAGGTTAAAATTATTTCTGTTGGTAGATTGGGGAGATTCCAAAATCCAAAGTGTGGGCTTTTATTCAGTGCAAAATTGGTCCTTGTAGATATCAATTGAAGGTAATTTTTTATGATTTGATATCAATTGAAAAGGGAAATATGAATTTATCTTTTTTTTGGTTTGTTTGTAGATTTGTGAACTCATGCAATTACATATTCTCTTTGCAGGAATTCTTTTAAGTTCTAATTTATTGCAAATTTGGAAATATCAAGTTTGTTTCCGTGGAGGGGGATTTCTCAAAGAGGGATTTCTCAAATTCCAGATTAAGCTATTCTTATTCTTTCAAGTATTAAAATTGGGGCCTAATTTTACCATTAAGTTTAAATATATATAGGCTTAATTTTTAATTTTGCCCTGGGCCCTGAAAAGTTCAGGACCGGCACTGCGACTGCCTCAAGGTCGGATCAATGGTCAACGAATGGCACACAGTGTCTCGACAGGGCCGCAACGGAACAACGGAAGTTCACTGGGTAACTCTAATCTAAGGGGTACGGGGACGACACCAAAAAAACCGGGCCGAACTTCTAACTAACAGCCCGCCCGCCTTTAACCCGCTGCTCCTTTTTGGTCTCTCACCCGTGGAGTCCATTCACTCCACTGATCGAGCAAGCACGGCCGTATTCTACTTGCATGTGTTAAGCATATAGCTAGCGTTCCTTAAAGCAAACTCCCTCCTTGGACGAGCACGGGGCTTAGTCAAGTAGAACCGGGTTGCGTTGCCATCGATCACCTACTCAAATGATGCCATGTCATCTGCAACTTTCTAGTCCCACATCGGAAAAGGAAAACAAAAAGGTTCAACCTTCCATGTATAAAAGGGAGTACTTTCCACCTAAAAAATGTAATATGAGTCTTCTTCATATTTTTGTACAATACTTTTGATAACTTCATTTGAGCAAAAAATACTGACTTAGGCATCAAAGGGTGTTTGGTAGACCCACCACCACCTATTGAGTAATCCCCTTCTGTTTCTTTTTTAGGTAGGAGCCAACAACCACCTTACTTGGCCACTCCAAGTAAGGAAAAAAATATACATAAATGCAGCCTCCAAACCTAATTAAGTTTATCCTTGAGGAAGGGTTGACATGGTTTGAGCACTCTGATTGGTTGAGCATCTGTTACGCATCAACAAAATCATGTCCCCTATCTTTTCCCAAGGGATGGTGAATGAGAGATTCATTTTCCATGTTTGGTAATGCTGGGAAAGTAACAAGGACATATCATATTTCCTTTCCCATGTTTGGTTTGTGTAGGAATGGGAAAAAAAACCTTTGTTTAGCTTTCCAATTATATCCAAAATAGAAATATGAAATAAATAAAATAAAAAAGTTTGTCAGGTTTAGCTAAGTGGGAAAGGGCCTTGACTTGACAAGTGATCTCAAAATTGAACTCCCATAGCATCTTGATAGTGTGTGTGAAACCCCCTTGCCCTTGTAGTTTAGACTATTACTTGTATTTAAAAAAAAACAAAAAATACCAACAACTCTCTTTGTTGTTAGATAAAATTGCAATTAGAAATTATTAACAGACAAATTGGTAATGAAAAATCTGCATTTAAGGATTTGGAAAGAGTCCTAGATAGGAGTGTGCACTAGATTTTATTTTTGAAAAAACTTGGCTCCTTAAAATTGAGGAGGAGCTCCTCCTCAAAACAAATTGTGTTTTGACACTTGTCAAATTCATTTAATTTGTTTAGCATGATTTGGCTCTGTAAAATTGAGAAGAAGCTCCTCCTTAAAACCAATGGGATTTTGACACTTGTCAAATCTTAGCGACATTGGAAAAGTTTCAACAAAAAAGAAAAAAGAAAAAAGAAAAATTAAAAATTTGACATGTGTCAAAACTAATCAATATGCAACTAGTCAAACTTGCTTTTTCCATTTTCCAACTTGCTTCACATGGCTTTTGTTCCCTCCTTTATGACAAAGGCTGACATTAACCAACA